GTAAACATGTTTATTTATGCTGTAAAGTTGGGCTTGATAATCTGGAGCTTATGAAGGTTGACTCACTTCTAGAGCCAGCCTCAAGTGACGTAAGCAGAACTGCAGTTTTTGTTGGATCCATTTGCAGACACAGAGATTGCTGCAGGTTAAACCCTTTGTAAAACATTACCAAATACATACATTAACTAAAATATAAGGATAAACCAGTCAGAGAAGGACAGGTCGTGAAATATATGGAGAATGGGACAGTGCTGGGGCTAATAAATTATGTGATATCAGATTGGTGCACGGACTCGCATACTTGCCGATACCCGATCCAGTATTCGTATTGGAACAACCCTACTCAGTGGTTTTATGGCTATTCCCTTTTATGTAAAACAGGGCATGCTTGTAATTCAAGATACATATCTGGAGGAATCAAAAAGTGCGATTCAATCCAACAAATTATCAAAGACAGCCCGCAAACACACAGCATCATTTGAAGGTGTGTGGAGGGCGCAGCATTGCTGGAGTATGAGGACAAACAGGTTGTGTGGCAAAAGTCAGTCAAATCTCTTTATCCTAGATTCAAAATGTGAAATGCATTGGAGTCATTTAAATGTAAGGTAACACAATGCCAGAGATTGCTGCATCACCTAAAACTGAAGGAGGAAACAATGAATTATATGTCACTGATGGATTTATATATTGATCGGTCACATCTGGCTGATACCTGATATGATTACAGGGGAATATGCTTATGCTGTGTCGACATATTCTCGATGTTATCTTTGTATGTTTTAAAATAATCCAATATAAAGATGTCTCAACATAATAAAATGCTGGCATAAGTGTAGTAAGGATTGTGTTTTTGTCTTCTACTTTTTGGTGTTTGTTTTTATTATATTTTCCTAAATAGTTTCTGTAATTATTTACAGACTGAAAGAAGGTAGCTGGTCAAACATGTATGATTTCATGTCAGATTCTTAGTTGCTCCAGTTTTAAGAAGCTGAAGATGTTATCTGTGATCTACAAACATCAATGACTTTGGAAGAAAATCTATCTGCCATTTATTTCTGGCCTGTAGAGGAAAGGCTGCGAATCTTCTCTCACCTGTTTCTCTCACAACCGATACCTGAATGAAACAAACCACCCTCGCTCCTCAAAATAAAGATGCAATTTCAGTTCCCACACCGGTAGCATGTGGACTACAACAGGAAAAACCAAATATCTACACTATCCCGGCCACAGTAATTGTTATATATGAAGAATTTCTAAAAGCACTCTTATGAAAACCAGCTAGATCAACAAGTGTCCAATCCTACATGACTAATGATACACAAAACCTGGCTTAGAGACACACATGACAGGGCGAAGATGTAAATTAGGGCTGAGAGGAAGAGGTGAGGTATCCCACTAAACATCCCTACGACAAATACTTCTGTCCAACTGATCTATAAGTGGTAATACCCATCTGACAGCAGCTGGGAAAACATTGCAGGGTGAGAAGAAACCAGGGCAGCTTGCCAGACAGAAAGCTGCCAACATCCAAGGGCCGCCAGCCACCGCCTCTTTTACCGGGCAACCTGTCAAACCTGATCAGCCCTGTTCATCAAGGATGTCAGATTTCAGTATCACACCTTGTCATAAAAAAAAAAAGCAGCAAACAGTGTGCTCCCAAATATCAACCCTTGTGCGATGACAGGCCTGGAGAAAAAAAAGTGTGAAAAGTGAGATCACACCTGCAGAAAAATAACCAAATCCCTCTGAATGGGATTGACTGCATTCATACATTCATACAT